GAGGGACCTTTGCACAATTACCTTAATGTATCAGAAAAAATCAAAACATGCACATGAGCTTTCAGAACTACATGGAGTAAACAAAAACAAAGCCTGTATTTATGCACCGACGGCCTCTGTGTGAAATGCTTGTGTTTTATTGATCCTGAGGCCAGTTTAAATGCTTAAAATCTTTGTGACACTTTTTTTCTCTGCGTCAGATTTATTTTTATTCAAAATATAACATAATAGTTTTAATTACTAATTTCTACTAACTGATTTCTTTTATATTTGCGATGATGACAGTATATATTTTACTAGATATTTTTCAAGATAATATTCAGGCTAATAATATTAACCTTAAAAGGATTTAAAAAAAAAAAAAAAAAATTGCTTTAATTCTAGCCGAAATAAAACAAATTAGACTTTCTCCCGAAGAAAAAAATATTATAGGAAATACTGTGAAAAATTCCACACTCTGTTAAACATAACTTGGGAAATATTTAAAAAAAGAAAAACAAATTTATGATAATATTTCTGACTTTAACTCTATATGCCATATAGAATTCAGAAGGAATTCAGAATTATCATAGTATCAAATAAAGTTTTGTTTTAAACTGTGGTCTGAATAAATCCTGCTGACACACTCTCCACTGTCTCTCTCCACTGTTGTCACCATTGTATCACAGAAATGTGTGTGTGTGTGTGTGTGTGGATGAGGGCAGTTTGTTTACCTCTCTCTTCCCATAAATGAGGCGTCTCTTCATCTGACGTGAGTCTCCATGTTCAAGGTATCTTTAGCTTTCCAGTAGACTAAGCTTCTGTAAGGAATCTGTGTGACGATGTGCTTTGAAAAGGTATCTTACACATTAATCATTCAGAGTCAGCAAATCATGTATAAATGCAAAATGTACATGTGTTTGCTGTTTATCTGTGCTGTGAGGTTGTATCTGGACAAGGTAATAAATGGTATTATTGAGGGAATTTAAAAACAGTCACATGATGTGTTGGCAGTGTTGTGTTGTGCCAGCATTATCTAATCAACATGTTTGCTGTTAGCCGTTTCAGCTAAAAGAGTTAATTATTAAATCAAAACAGCCTCTCTTCATCAGTTAACAGGTGTTGTAATAACAAGTCTGCCCATTAATAATTGTAACAGGAGCAAAGTGTACGTAAACCTGTAAATAAAAACTTTTATTGAAAGTCTATTTACCAAATAAGTTTCAAAAGTGACCATAAAGAGGTCAAAAATCCATATCAATTGTTTAAATCAAGTCTTTTTAAGAGACATGATCACTTTTTGTGATGAACAGATATGATGTTGGCTTTTATTCATATATGTATGCTGATCAGGAAATGTAAACAGAAGCTCAACCATACACTGCTGGAAACTCAAACAGTAGATAGAAATGCCACAATCACATATTGTACAGAGTAGGTACAGCATATTTAACTTCACCAATGTAATAATAATGTTCTGCAAAGTACATAATGAATATGGGTAGAACGAATGATATTCAGACCTATTATCTGCTATACCGGACTTAAAACCAGGGAGCAACAAACTTGGTTCTGGAGGACCAGCATCCTGCAGAGTTTACTGTAGCTCCAACTTCCCTCAACACACCTGCCTGGCTGTTTCAGGTATACTTAGTAAGCCCTTGATTAGCTTGTTCAGGTGTGTTTGATTAAGATTGGAGATTAAATCTGCATTACATCGGCAATCAAATATGACAAGGTTTGGTGACCCCTGTTATAACAAACAAACAAGTAGGCTACACTGAAAATTTGCATATAGCAAATAGCAACATGGTGACCTTACAGTTTTTTTGAGCAATCCAGATCATTATATTGGGCTTTTTTCAAAATGTTTTCTATTTGCCACGGACAGACACCAAATGCCTTTAAAAGATGTGGTGTGGTGCGGTGGGTCTTCTCATCCGGTGTTTGACCACCTCCAAGACTTCTCTCAATGTGTCTTACAGATACATCTGTGTCAGCTTTGCTACTCGTCCCTCCAGTCTATTCATGTTGCTGACTTGGTGTTGTTGTGTTGGATGATGTTTTCCTGTCTGAACTCCGTGGATATGAGAAATGAATCAATCGCACAAGTGGAGTTCCAGAGCACACACACCGACTGCGCAATCGTCATGAACCAATAGTAGCTCAAAGGTGGTATAGGAACCAAAACAAACTCTCTCAAAATGTTAATTTTCGTGAGCTGTTAAGAACTGCCAAAACAAATTCAAAATGATCATCATTTTGGCTGGATTTTGTTATAATTTCAGTTTGTTTTTCGATTTTGTTTGAAGCTGGGCCTTTAGTGTAACCATCATTCCTGTAATGCAAGGAATGGAGACATCACGTCAGATGATGGTTAAGATCTCACTAGGGAGCTCTAATTACGTTGAGATGTAAAGAAATAGCCAGTGAACACTGGCTAGCGGAATCAGCATGCCAAATAATCCCCTAACATATGAGTGTAAAAGGGATGGCTCAACGCCTTCCCAATCCCCCATCAAATCAGAGACCACGCATGGTGCACTAAATGGACAATACTCATTCACGGAGTGGCCCTAGCTGCTGCTCCTGCCATTCACTTTGATGGCCTGGTGAGCTGTTAATGCTGAAGAAACATCCAGTGTAGGATGTTACAGACACCACATAAAACCTGAAGGGATGTAACATGGTGTTACACACAAAGATTGACACTATAGAGACAGATAGGCTATGAAATCCACTATCCAATGGGCCATTGTTTGCTTGGAGAAAGCCTTTGCCTTCTGTTGACTTAGAAAATGGACAAAGAGATGTTCTGAAGCTCTGAGTGCAGTGCACGTAATTGTAAAAGGCACAGACAGGACACAGCAAGTGATCTTTCTGCAGTGCCGTCAGGACTACAGTATGCAGACATTCCATGAAGTGACTAAGGAGGATTTAACCTCCTGACCCCTCTTAGGAAACCATCATCATGATGAGCCTTGATGGCAGCCAACCTACACCTTGAGGAGGGGGGTCTTCACTTCAACTTTGAAGGAAGGAAAACATCACACTGATTAGACATCTCTGAGGATCCTCTTGGTAAGAAGAACACCATTTCAAGCCAAAAACTTGTCTCGCAGTGGGAGCTCTGGCCTGAGTTATAATGCCTAACACCACTGATTACAGTTTATACTCGAGTCCACCACCAATTCCAAAAGGTTGTTCTTCAGGTTCTGTCAGGGAAGGGTTGTTGCATGGAAAATAATGCTGTTTTTTTTTTTTTTTCACTTTATGCATTGGAGCAGGTGAGCACTGCCTAGTTTAACTTCTTGGTTGAGAAGTGCAGCTTCATCCCAAAAATAGAGATGCTCTGCACAAGCCATGATAATACATTAATTACCAGACCCACACGGAATCTGAGTGCGCAGAAATCCGCAGATTTTAAGCCCATCATTGAGTCTATTTATTTTACCTGGGTAAATGTGTGTACATTTATCTTTATTCAGTTTTTAAATGAATTTAATTACCATAAATGACTAAAATAAAAATGTTCATATGATTTATTTACGGTACAGTTTTTAAAGTAATAATTTCTGTCTTTTAGTAAATGCTATATAAAAGACTTGCTTTGTTTACCAAATAAGTGGATCTAATTGTATTTGCATTGAAAACATTCAATTAAGGTTAAAAAGGTATTATTATTTATTTCATATATAAATTTGGTCACACTTTACAATAAGGTTCATTAGTTAATGTTAATTAATGCATTTACTAACGGGAACAAACAATGAACAATATGTTTACTACTGTATTTGTTCATGTTAGTTAACGTTAGTTAAGGAAAATACAGTTGTTCATTGTTAGTTCATGTTAACTCATGGTGCATTAACTAATGTTAACAAGCCTGGACTTGGATGTTAATAATGCATTAGTAAACGTTCAATTATGATTAAAAATGCTTTACAAGTGTTGTTCATGATTCAAATGACAAATGCATTAACTAATGAACCTTATTGTGAAGTGTTACCATAATTTTTTTTAGTTACCATTCTCCCAAAATCATTCCGCTTTAATCCACAGATTATTTACAAAATTCTTGACAGAAGTATCAAAAAAAAAAAAAAAAAAAAAAAAACATCAGCAGGTTCTGTCTGGCCCTAGCCATTACCAATACACTTGATGATACAGATGCCCATTTTCTTTAGCGGGGCAAGTGCGGCCTTTATAACCCTGGTGAAGGTGTGTGAAAAGACAAAGAAAACCTGAGGAAGACCTTGCCAGACCCTCAAAGGCAAGCCAAGGGGTGCTTAATAATAATCAGTGTTCATTTCTTTTTTGCTTTCTTAAGAATTGCTTTCTTGTTTCATTGGTGAAATGAACACTAATGGTGGTGTAAATCTTTAAATTGCCTACAGAGTATTTAAAATAAATGTAAAGTAAATAAAAATAACAATAACATGTGACTTTATTTGAAGATAATAGATGGAAAAACTTTTAAGTGCTATCTGAAATTTTCTTGTAAAATGAGCGTTTTTCTCAGCCTCCTGTGTGTATGTTTGGTATTTTAACTTTTATAGCAAAGAATATGATTTTTTCTTGTCCTTTAAGGTAAAATAACTGAACATAAACATATGAGTCATTCATTCCTTTATTTATTTATATGTATATTTATTTATTGTAAAACAAAGGCGTTTAGCACTTTTTATAAATTATATATTTTAATTTTTTGGAATGTTGAGAAAACGACTGTATTAATTACTCATTAACTTCCGTATCTTATTGCAAGGCTAAAAGTTCCTGACATTTGATTTGCTGTATAAATCGATATGTGTGCCATAAATAACTAAACTGCTCCTCAATTACCTCCTCCCACCTGTACACACACACACACATACACATTCAAACACACAGTCACACTAATCACAGTTGCAAATGCTGTCATAAAAATCGACGTCAAGCTCATCTGAACCCATTGGTGTCCAAGGATACATTTTATTGTCCAAAGTCTATATAAGTGTTGCCTGTCTCCCTTAGAGTACAGCTACGTCTGTCCTGGCTGGTGTGTGTGTATGTGTGTGTGAGTGAGTGTGTCTCTACATTAAAGGATATTATCACCAGTGGACCAGAAAACAGTCTCAGTCGGAGGAGTCACCATGGCAGGTCAGTAAACATGATGTTTATTGGCACCTGAGCAAATGCAACAAAATAATCATCATTTTGACTGTAAACTTCTGTGCTTGTACATGTGAATTGATTGTAAAGAGAGACTAAGTGTGGGTTGTTTGCTAAGTTTGTGTATTAATGTGGCATAGTGATGAAAAATGACTTAACTCGAGTTGAATAAAGATTTGTGTGTATTACTTTTGCAGACAAAGAGGGACACAAGCAGAAGAAGGAAAGGGTGAGACCTGTAGAAACTGATCAGTGATGCTTTTATATATACAGTTGAAGTCAGAATTATTAGCCCCCTTTTGATTTTTTTTTCTTTTTTTAATATTTCCCAAATGATGTTTGACAGAGCAAGGAAATTTTCACAGTATGTCTGATAATATTTTTTCATCTAGAAAAAGTCTTATTTGTTTTATTTTGGCTAGAATAAAAGCAGTTTTGAATTTTTTTAAAACTATTTTTGGGACAATATTATTAGGCCCTTCAAGCTAATTTGTTTTTCAATAGTCTACAGAACAAACCATTGTTATAGAATAACTTGCCTAATTACCCTAACCTGCCTAGTTCACCTTATTAACCTAGTTAAGCCTTTAAATGTCACTTTAAGCTGTATAGAAGTGTCTTGAAAAATATCAAGTAACATTTTATTTACTGTCATCATGGCAAAGATAAAATAAATCAGTTATTAGAAATAGGTTTTTAAAACTATTATGCTTAGAAATGTGCTTAAACAATCTTCCCTCCATTAAACAGAAATTGGGGGAAAAAACAAACAGGGGCGCTAATAATTCAGGGGGCTAATAATTCTGACTTCAACTGTATATACAAAGCAAGAAAAATTTCACAGTATGTCTGGTAATATTGTTTTCTTCTAGAAAAAGTATTTTGTTTTATTTTGGCTAGAATAAATGCCGTTTTTAATTTATTATGAACCATTTTCGACTATACAAACCATGTGTTGAAAAAATCTCTCTGTTGAATGGAAATTGAAGAAAAAAAATAAACAGGAGGTCTAATAATTCAGGGGAGCTAATAATTCTGACTTCAACAGTATATACTTACAAAAATGTACTGTAATTCTACAAAAGAGCATGTAGTTACCACAGCTTAATCATACTTTATTGCATTATCCATAGTGTAACTATGATATTCATTTAGTAATCTGTGGTTATACAAATGGTTTTCAATATACCATAAAACAGTTACTATACACTGTAAAACCCCATAAGTTAACTCAAACTGTTTGAGGAAACTGATTGCGGTAAGCCATTTAAGACCATATGAAACCGATAATAAGGGTTTAATAATATTAATAACAATAATAATTAATAGTAGAGTAATTTCTGAAGTGACTTTGGAGACTGGAGTAATAAAGCTGAAAATTAATCTTTAAAATCACTGGAATAAATTGTTAAATTAAATTATGAACTAGTTGTGAACAGTTATTTTATGTAGTATAAAATATACAATATATATATATATATAGTTATATTTTACAACGTGTACTGTATTTTTGATTAAATAAATGCAGCCCCGATGAGCAGGATAAGTGTATTTTAAAACGTTTGACTGGTAGTGTATACGTATATATTTGTTTATTTTGAGTAATATACACATATTATTTGTGTTGATATTGTAAATCATTTACAGTATTAGTAACTTAAACATTTCAAGTTCAGTTAATAGAACAAATTAAGTCCAAAAAACTATATAGCTACTTAAATGGTTTTGTTTTGTTTCTAGCATAAGAGTCAACACATAAAACAGAATTAACTGATTCATAACTCATTTGATTTGAGTTCTGCTTAATATAATTAGTTTAAGAGTTGCCATAACTCTTATTTATTAAGTCAAAGTAAAAATCACAAGTTAAACTACTCTGTAATACCCAATAAGTTAAGGTAACTCAAACCGTTTCAGGAAACCGATTGAAACAAACTATTTACCAAACCATTTAAGTTCAAAAACTAATCCTAATGAGTACTGTGAACTTAATCCATTTGAGTAAATGAAGTAATTTGAGCACAGTAAAACCCAATAAATGAAGAGAACTCAAACCAACTGAGTACTGTTAAACCCAATCAGGTAAGGCAACTCAAACCGTTGGAGGAAACCGATTGCTACAAACCATTTGAATTAAAAAATGAAAACATGAGTACTGTGAACTTACTCCATTTAAGTTGAAGTGATGAGGTATATAATTAACTCATGACCTTTAACACTGAGTTTAAAACTCTTTTCAAATGAGTAGAATTAACTTTCTATAAATTTTGAGTTAACTACACTCATTTTTTTATTTGATAAAGTTGACTGCTGGGTTTTAAGGTGTAACTTATTTCATTTAGTACTGTTTTACTATAATAAATCCATAGATCATTTTTCTTATCAGTATGTTCTTGATTCAACAATATTTGTATTGTCAATTTATAAAAACATTATAAATTATTGTCATCACATAGTAAAACACACCTGGTTTTCCCTAGGACATGATATCAGAAAAATATTATTCAAAATAAAAGGTATTTATTAATTATATGTTTCATTTTGCTTTATTATAGGCAAGTTGCTTTGGATATCCTGTCAGTATATTTTTTATTGTGGTGAATGAGTTCTGTGAGCGATTCTCCTACTATGGCATGAAAGGTAAGTCTAAACATTTTGACTTGTTCATACGCTGTAAAAAAAAATCCTGCTTGCCTTAAATGTTCAAGCTGAATCAAATTAACTTTAAAAGTCCATTGAACTTATATTATGTTAAACTGACTTTAAACAGTTTGCGTAACTAATAAAATTACGTTAGAACATGATTAACTTTTACCGTTTAATAAGTTACAGTGATCTAAAAACATTTGCTGCCAGAACTAATTGATCAACTAATTTTTTACAGTGTACTCTCACACTAATCTCTTATTAGTTCTTCTATTTCTTTCTATTCTCATTCTTCTTGTGTTTTTGTTCTGTTTGTGTCGTGCAGCGGTGCTGGTCCTGTACTTCAAGTATTTCATTGGTTGGGATGATGACCTGTCCACCACCATCTACCACACGTTTGTGGCTCTCTGCTACCTTACACCCATCATGGGAGCCATTATTGCGGACTCGTGGCTGGGAAAGTTCAAGTGAGTCTGTGGACAATTCAGATTACTAGTCGCTTTTAAGTACACTCAACTTGACTCCTTTGTAAAGGGAATCTCTTCCTAAAATATTAAGAAAATTATATCAGTGACATTTTTTTATACTTTTTTTTCTCTGTTTGAGGATTAATCAAAAGCGACAGTAAAACTATTATAAAAGTGACAAACATTTTATTTCACATAAATGCAGTTCTTTTGAAATTTGCATATATCAAAGAATACTGCATAAAAACCAAATAAAAATCTTGTAAATAACATAAAGACATACTATACTGTTTATAATACTGTACTTAACGATATTTTACAATGTCCTGTACTGTTTATAATACAACAGTTCAGCATACTAATATTGCTGCTGTCACAGGAATACAGTACGTTTCAAAAATAGAAACTCTTAAACATTAATGCAACATGTCACAGTATTGCTGTTTTTATTTAATTTGGATCAAATAAATGAGAATAAAAAAACTTTATTTTAAATTCTTGTAAAATCAGCAGTTAACAGATTTTAAAATCAAGTAGGCTAAGCTAATTCATTCATTCATTTTCTTTTCGGCTTTGTCCCTTTATTAATCTGAGGTTGCCACAGCAGAATGAACCGCCAACTTATGCTCTTCCAGCCGCAACCCATCACTGGAAAACATCCATACACACTCCTTCACACTCATACACTATGGTCAACTTTAGCTCACCCAATTCACCTATACCGCATGTCTTTGGATTTGTGGGGTAAACCGGAGCACCCAGAGAAACCCACGTCAACACGGGGAGAACATGAAAACTCCACACAGAAACGCCAACTGACCCAGCGACCATCTTGTTTTGAGGCAATCGTGCTACCCACTGTGCCACCGTGCTGCCTCGTGTCATACTATCTAACTCGTATTTGCTCATCACCCAATTACAGTTGGGTTTTAGGGGCCAGGTTGGGTGCCACGCCTCCTTTTTAAAATCGCACTGAACTCAAAATGACATGAATTTGCGACTAAACTGACAAAACGTAAAATGAGATCAGACTGTTTAAAACACATTGTGGCATAAATAACAAGTCTTATTTAAATAACAAAAATATCTACAAAGCATATTATTGCATTTAAAACTGCTATTATTATTGATTTTTGACATCCAACAAAATGTGTAGCATTTTCATTTTAATGAGACAAGATTATTTTTGTGTCATATGTACAGTTGAAGTCAGAATGATTAGCCCCCCTGTTTATTTTTTCCCCCAATTTCTGTTTAATGGAGAGGATTTTTTTTCAGCACATTTCTAAACATAGTAGTTTGAATAACTCATCTCATATAACTGATTTATTTTATCTTTGCCATGATGACAGTAAATAATATTTGACTAAATATTTTTCAAGACACTTCTATACAGCTTAAAGTAACACTTAAAGGCTTAACTAGGTTAATTAGGTTAAGTAGGCAGGGTAACGATGGTTTGTTCTGTAGACTACAGGAAAATATATAGGAAAAGGGGCTAATAATTTTGACCTTAAAATGGGTTTTAAAAAATTAAAAACTGCTTTTATTTTAGCTGAAATAAAAGTAATAAAACTTTCTCCAGAAGAAAATATATTATTAAACATACTGTGAAAATTTCCTTGCTCGGTTAAACATCATTTGGAAAATTTTTAAAAAAGAAAAACAAAATCTTAATATATAATATAATAATCCTAATAATAATTCTGACTTCAACTGTCATGTCATATATATTTATATCAATGGCAAACATTAAATACAAGTGTCTGCCTTTATATTTCAAAAAATGTTTGAGTAAATGAAAATAATATTTTCTAATTGTTATTCAGTTTAACAAATATATTTGCGTATAAATAAAACACCATTCTTATTCTTATAAAATATATGATATTTATATTATATTTTCCATATGATGATATTTTGATGATACGTTTTTTTAGAATTGTTGAAGGTGATGTAATTCTGCAACAGTGGGCTTTACATGGTTAAACAAGATATGATTTAATGTATGATTACTATATGAAAAGCATGATTAATATCAGGAAAACGTTGACAGGCTCATTCTGAAAATGTAGTCCCACGGATGTTTCTGGAGACCACAAATTATGTAGCCTGAGGTATATATGGCTGCATTTAAATTTTTAAGCAAACGCTACGGGGTGGTATGACATTGTTTCTTTTGGCGCTGACCGTGTGGAGGGCTTTCCCGCTGCAACCAGTTTGTACAGTTAGCTCATTGTGTACGTCAGCGGACTTTAGAGGCAGAGAGAAGTTGACCATTATGACCAGATTCGAGTTCAGTGAACAGCGGTTCCAGAAATCTGGTAAGGCAAAAACAGAATACAAAAAACTGAATTTAAACAGCAGGGTGAGAATGTGGTAAAATCTAAAAAATTCGTAAAAATCAGACAAGGGCTTTTCTTTTTCTGGATGGCTTTTGTAAACTGTCGGTTGCGTTTAGGGAAAGTAAGTGGGTGGGCGGGTCAATCGGTAAAATTGCTGGAGTTTAGGGAAGGATGAGGATGGGTCAGTCAATTGGCCGGTCACCCAGTAAGTCATTTAGTCGGTCAACAGCGGCCTCTGGTGGGTTTATGCAAGAACAGCACGGGTGTGAATGGCACTCACCAGAGACATTTGAGATACGAAAAATTGGCCTCTCTCGGATTCCACAAAACAAAAACTGCAAAAATACGTACCACCAGTCTCCAGAAACGTCCACGAGACTACGTTTTCAGAATGAGCCTGGGTTGCAACAACAATATCCAAACTGTATTACGTTTAACTTTTTACTAAGAAACAAGACAAACACTGTTGCTGTTTGTTCCGACTATTTATTTAAAATAAGCTGAAGCTGAAAACTTAATAAGTTTATGTTGAATCTACTTCAAAGCGAGCTTAATTCCTTCATGTTGTCCCAATCGATTGTGTGGAAACCAGTTTTTTTAAAGTGAATGTTGACATTAGATCTGATTTTTAGTCGATATTCTGACTGATTGTGACGGATATTCATATGTTCATCTTCATCTCCTCATTCCACAGGACTATCGTGTATCTGTCCATAGTGTACACCATTGGTCAGGTGATCATGGCTATCAGTGCCATCCATGACATCACAGATGCTAACAGAGACGGCAAGCCTGACAACAAGACCTTACACATGTGAGTTACTGGACCACTTGCTCATTATAACTTCTTTTTTTTTTTTTTACTAAATTTGCTGCTTAGAAAAAAGAAAAGAAAAGTAAAGTGTAAAGAAAGTAATGTGAATGTATGTGTTGTTATTTTTGCTTTTTTTAAGATTGAGATAGGATGAATATTGTATAAAACTACTTTTAAGAGTAACTTGAGCCAACTCTGGTGAAATGGCTGTTCAGTACTGTCAAGTGCCCATTAAGACCTTATCACAGTCAATCAGAGTTTCTTCTCTTTTATTTTAGATCCTTGTCGATGTTGGGGCTCATCTTGATTGCTTTGGGAACAGGAGGAATTAAACCCTGTGTGGCAGCATTTGGAGGAGATCAGTTTGAAGATCACCAGGCATGTGGACACACACACTCACACACACACATTATGTTTCCATAGACATAATTATTCTTTTTCCTGCGCAGATTTATACCGTGTATCCTGTCCTTTTCCTATAACACCACCCTTAGAATAGTTTTATATTTTTAAAAGACTTTATTCTGAATGACTTTAGCTCAGTGAGCTGATTTACTAATTCTCAGCTACTAAGTCAAAAATCACAGGCATGACTATAATTGCCTGTAAATCAGCTGTTATCAGTTCAAGGTTAGGTTTCTGATTCTGAGCATCTGAGATTAACAAATACTGATACTGGACTGATTTGCAGTCAAAGACTAGAGGTCAAAGTATCGTATGTGTTGTCAAGTGTTGATACAGAATACTATATTATGAGCTATGTGGAGATTTCTGTTAGGGTAAATATACTTTAGTAAAAAAGGAAAAGTGTTATTCACAAGTAGGCCCACCATATTTAAAATTGCTGTACTTTTAAAGTTAAAGTCAGCGTGAACTGGAAGCTGCTGAGACTTTTATTTCTGAATGTTGATGCACTTCCTAATGAAGCTGAATACTGAGTAGAGGCTGGGGTTTTCTTTTTGCATGTCATTCAAGAGGTTAAAATGTTATGGCTGAAGCGGTAACACTTTCTGATAACTACACTCCATGAATCATTTATTAAGCATTAGCATCTAGTGAATTCATTATCTGTTAAGCATTAACATTAATAGACGTTAATAAGCAGTTTATAACTGCAGCTGCAAATGCTCTATTCTTGACTTACAACCACATTTATAATGTGCTTAAAATTGTACTTCCATATCTTGTTTTTTTTTTTTATTATTCCGTTAGGTATCATCATTTACAAACCATTTTTATTTAAGAGTAGTTCTGTAACTCATACTAAATGATCTTAAAAAAACACCAACTATTCTTAAATAACTGCTTTGTATATAATGCAATACTTCATTTAGTAATACAAAAATGAATCATTAACAAGATATGAAAGTACAATTATTAAGCACATTATAAAGGTGGTTATGAGTCAAGAAAACAGCATTTGTAGCTGCAGTAATAATCTGCTTATACAAAATCTACAGGGTGGGCCATTTATATGGATACACCTTAATAAACTTATTGGGAATTTCACAAGATAAACAATGGTGTGCTTGGATTTAAACGTAACTTTTTTTATTTCATGAGTTATTTACAAGCCCCCTTACATATACTAATGTGCCACAAACAGGACATTAGTATCACCAACCATTCCCATTTTAAGGTGTATCCATATAAATTGCCCACCCTGTAGAGTTAATGCTTAACAGAGAATGAATTCACTATTTGCTAATGCTCAATAAATGGTTCATGTGTAGTTTGTTATAAAGTGTTACCAACGTTTTTCCACCAGTGGGTTAACTTAAAACTAGGGCTGCACAATATATTGTTTCAGCATCGATATTGCAATGTGCAAATCCAAAATATTCACATCGCAAGATGTACAATGTTAAAACAAACAACAAAAATCAGTCCAAGGCACTCAAAAGATGTGGAAAATTTAAAAAGCCCCTGGTCACTGTTTCCCTGATGAAGTCAGTTCTTTGCTAAAACGCATAGTTTTTTTTTAAAGGATTAGCCATGTATATATAGAATAAAGGCTTTTTAATTTTTCTTTTACCTTTTTCGGTGCCTTGGACTGATTTTTGTTGTTTGTTTTGATGAATCCCTTACCCAGAGAGCACCGAAAACATATTTGAGCTACCCCTGAATGCTTTTTGTTAGTTTTTTGGTTTATGTACAATGTTAAGTTATCATTAAAGTTGACCAGGAGAAGCAGTTCAGAACAAATAAGAATTGTGTAGTTATTGCAGAGTTTAACCAAAATGGAGTGAAAGTTTTTTATTTGCACATTTTTAAGAGTTAATTGACTCATGCACAAAAAGTGTTACTGTTAATAACTTTAATAAAATGTTTAATGTAACTTTAATAAAAAATAATTTTATTGAATTATTTATACAATAAAGACTTTTGCAGGTTTTTTTTTTTTTATTTTTTTATTTTTTATTTTTTTTACAGTTGATTATTCAAATCCTGTACCCGAACAATATTTGACTGCCCCAAAAACCGTTAAACACTGTTTATTTCACTTTTATCTTTGCCTTTTTGTATTTGCTTGTAATTTGTTACTTTCTATGTACGATATTTTACAATATTTACATCAGAAAAACAAACTATCATAATGTTGGATTTTTCCAATATCATGCAGCACTAGTTAAACCTTTCTTTTAACATCCCGTCCGAACATTTGTTTGATTAATAATGATAATATTCATGTGTCTAATTGTGTCAAATTACATTTTATAACTTATCAAAAAAATGAACATTATTATAATTGTAATTAAAAAACACAATATTACTGCTTGAATTGCATTTTAATCGCATGTCTAATTGTGTCAAATGACATTTTATAACCTAAAAAACCTAATTATTATTGTAAAAACAAATAATCACAATATTTCTGTTTTACTTGCATTTTTTATTCATTTTTAAATAGAAAATAAAAACAAAAACATCATATTTGGTGTGACATTAACAATAAATGTAATTCTATTCCAGGAAAAACAAAGAAGCACTTTCTTTTCCATCTTCTATCTGTCCATCAATGCTGGCAGTCTGCTCTCCACTCTCATCACACCCATCCTGAGATGTAAGAACTGCTCCAATCACCACATCACCGTTGAGATTATAACTAAACACTCTTTTGAACAATCTACCTTGTGTTTGTTTGTGTTCATTACGATCTTCAGCCCAGGAATGTGGCATCTACGCAAAGCAGAGCTGTTATCCTCTGGCGTTTGGCGTTCCTGCAGCGCTCATGGTGGTTGCCCTCAGTAAGTTACAGCAGTTTGCTTTTATTTTGATGTGTGCAATGCTCCTTCTGACCACTCGATGGCAGTCTCGATGATGCTGAGCTTTGCTTTGTTTTCTGTCTGCAGTTGTGTTCGTCATAGGACACAAAATGTATATCATGGAGTCTCCAAAGGGCAACATCCTGCTGCAAGTCATTAACTGCATTGGAGTAAGTAACTAACAACATCACATATTACTTGGAGATACAATTATACAGTGTACATTGCATTTTGCTTTAATAGATCCTACATTTACATTTACTTTTGTCCAAAAAGTGACTTATAATTGATGAAGATGAAAATGAAAAGGCAATACACACAAGAAGAGCTAACTATACAAAGGAACCATTAGTGCTCAGAGCATTAAATACTAGTATGGGGTTCCATTTGTGCCAAAATTTCCATGCCTGCATTCTGCTTTGTAATTTACATTTGTCTTTGTCTACTCTCATTGCCCGCATGTTTAGGAAATTCAGCATTGTTGACGTACACGTCATCCTTTTAACATGACAGTATAAACAACAGCATAGACCACAGTAAGAATTACAGTATAAACAACAGCATAGACGACGGTTAGGATGAAAGAACAGACGACAATAGGGAAGACAGCATAAACAACTGTAAGGATGACAGTAAAGATGAATAGACAACAGATCAGATGACAGAATGCCACATAGAATATGACAGTACATAACCTGACAGGACGACAGATTAAGACGACATCAATAGACAACATGTACGTCAACAATGCAGATATTACTAAACATGCGGCAATGAGAGTAGACAAAGACAGATGTGGAGTACAAAGCAGAAAGCGGGCATGGGAATTTTGGCACAAATAGAACCCCATATACTAGAGGTAGGGGTGTGTTTTTTTTTAGCGATAGAGAATAGTTTTGTACAAGATGTTTGTCAAGTCCACTGACCTGTGTGAAGCACACTTTATAAATGTGCAATTTATGTTACTGTAAGAAAATGTCTGGTCCTACAACTACCTCCAATCAAAGTGTATGTACAAATATCATTATGATAATGATGTCAGAGACTACACAGTGGAAGCTAAACATTAAGTCAGTGGGAGATTGCAGATATGAAAATTCATATACAGTTGAAAAAGTGACATATTTCCCCTGAGGAAGAGTTTTTTTTTTTTTGAGATTTTCCACCCTTGTGTGTTGTTGGGGATGTTTTTATTCACTCTGGGGTGATTTTGTGTCTTAATTTGGCCTTAACTTATTCTGTGTTTCAGCTACTAGAATGATTTTTGGTAACTAATCCTATTTTGACATATTTTGTGAAAATGCTTTGAGTTTTAAAAAACTCAACGATACACTCTGAGCAAATTTACTATCCTTTTGTTATGTTCAAGATGAAAACATCCACTTAAACTGCTGTAAAATGCATCGTATCAATATTTTTTTTCACTTTTTTTTGCATAAATCTGTTAATCAGTCCTGATCAAAACTGTTAAATTACAGGATTTTAACTTTTTAATTGCCAAATTCACAATAATTCATGATGTCCCTGATTTGTTGAAAAAAATCACCAAAACCAATGTAAAATGTAGTTGTGGACTGGATTATTTTTACCATTTATCTTGGACAAAAAAAAACATTGTCTTTGATGCATTGTTTTTGATTCATTTTCTTTTTTCCCCTCTCTAATTTACTGGCTATTTTTGCCCCATTGTCTTCCATTTTAACCACATTGTTTTGATTACAAAACCAAGACACCGTTTTTGATTGTTGATCTTTTTGCCTGTTAGGAAGAAGTCCTGTGGTAGGCCTGTGCTTACTTTCTGGATTTAATATGGAGTATAACAGCAAATCAAAGTGCATGTATGTGTGTTTGAGTGTGTGAGAGTGGCCCTTACACACTTACCTCTGTGTCTGAGAAAATCAAAATAAGCATCTCAGCTCTCAGAACTAAATGGAGCAAATAAAACAAAGACTGTGTATTTATGCACCAACAATTGTTGTTATGATGATCACCAACAGTAAATTAGAGAGACAAAAGGAAAATCTAACAATGCTTCAAAGCCAATGTTGTTACTAATCATTCACATGTCTGTGAATGAAACAGTCCACAATTACTTTTTATATTGAAAAAAATGTCATACGTCATTTTGTGTGTGTTTTTTCACCAAATCAGGGACATTGTTTATGAATTTGACAATTAAAGAGTAAAATTACTGTAATTTTCTAAACATTTTTTGATCAGGACTGAGGTTGATTAACAGATTTATGAAAAAAAAAATTATCTGATGCATTTTTACAGCAGTTTAATTCTGTGGATGTTTTCATCCTGAACATAACAAAAGGGTAGTAACTGTGTGCAAGGGTTAAATAAATTAGTTTAAAAACAAATTTCTTTTATCTTTGCTATGGTGGCAGTATATAATATTGTCCAAGATACTAGTATTCAGCTTCAAGTGCAGTTTAATGCAGTGTTTCCCAACCATGTTACTGTAGGCACACCAACAGTATATATTTTGGATATCTCCCTATAATCTGACCCATTAACCTCAGGTTTTGGAGTCTCTTCTTATTAATAGGAAGAGGTTGAAAATGTGTACTGTTGATATGTCTTCAGAAAAAGTGTTGGGAAACACTATTTTAAAGGCTTAATTAGGCAATTAATTCATTTTTTTAAATTCCTGCCTAACTCAAAGTAACTAAAATAAGGAAAAAGTTAAGAAACAATACTGTGAAAATGCTCTGTTAAATATGGAAAATATTTTCTAAAGTAGTAAATGGCTTATGATGGTGTCCTTAACTCTTTTCGTGTGTTGTTTGCTCAAAAAAGAGATCTTTGCTGCCACTTATTTAAAATGAGCTGAAACAACACAATTCCTGATAATGTTTTGGGACAACTTAATTATTTTGTGTTCAGTCCACTTAAAATGGTTAAGTTAACTTAATCGATTTGTGTTGTGACAATATGAAGGATTTGTGTGACACCCTGCATTGGTTACACTGTCAAAAATACTGATTTCCATGCAATTGATTTGAAGGAATTAAGTTAACTTTAGGTGGATAATACATATAAAAAATTAAGTTGTCACAATAAATACCCCTCAGCGATTGTTTTGTTTCAGCTCACAAGTAGTTTGAACAAACAGGAAACAAAATTTTTTTTTCAATGCGCAGTGTATTCAGCATTGAGTAACATGGGGACGCCTCATCCAATTTTTATTAAATGACTGTTGTTGTTTTCTCTTCTGCAGTTTGCGCTTAATAACCGTTTCAGACATCGCGGTAAACAGTACCCAAAAAGAGAGCACTGGATGGACTGGGCAGAAGAGAAATATGATGTGAGTTACATGTAAATATAACCTGTGATATGCACTTCAGAATACAAGAAGGTGTTCGCAAACACACACTGGCATAATGTGAAACAATCTAAATGTCTGTCTGTTTGCAGAAACTGCTGATTGCACAGGTGAAGATGGTGGTGAAGGTGCTGTTCCTCTACATCCCGCTGCCAATGTTCTGGGCTTTATTTGACCAGCAGGTCAGTGTTCTACTTTAGTGATGCTTCAAATGCTATTCTCTATATGTGTTTCTACCAAACATTCAGGCCTGATGGTGAATGTAAGCTGTGTTGTTTTTTTTCAGGGCTCCCGTTGGACTATTCAAGCCACCACCATGGACGGTAACTTTGTACGTTCAGAAACTCTTTTACTAGCTTTGACATTTGCATATATTAGTAATAGTGCCATTTATGTGTTACTTAATATTCTCTCTCTCTCTCCTCATAGGGAGGGTTTGTAATTCAGCCAGATCAGATGCAGGTAGGGCTGATTTGTTTGCTGTCGTTTGTTTTGTGTGTCTGTACTTGTATCATTCCAGCATAAATAAAGATATAGTTCACTCAAAATTGAACATCATCCTTCACTCACCCTTCACTTGGTCCAAATCTGTTTGAGTTGTTTTTTTCTGTTAGACACAAATTAAGATATTTTGAAGAATGATTGAAACCTATAGCCATTGACATGCAGGGTATTTGTTTTTAATACTATGGAAGTCAATGGTTACAGGTTTTTAACTTTCTTCAAAATATCCTTTTTCGTGTTTAATAGAAGAAAGAAAGTCATAAAGGTTTGGGACCACTTGAGGAAGAGTAAGAAATATGTAAATGTTCAGCTTTTGGGTGAACTATCCCTTTAGCAGTTTTCTTTTTATTTGTTTTATAAGTTAAATGTGTGTTTAGTGATGTTTAATGTTTATTATCTTCTATAATTTATCTTTTCAAACTTCAAGAAATGTTTCTTGAGCACCAAGTCAGAGTTTTAATGTTATTTAATTACATTTTAAAATATTTAAAAAACAGAAAACTATAAATAAATGAAAATGTTGCTGTTTTACTGTATTTTAGACTATTAAACACAGCATTGGTGAGCAAAACAGACTAACTTGAAGTGATTCTGTCATCATTTACTCACACCTTCACTTGTTCCAAACCAGTTGAGTTTTTTTTTTTTGTTTTTTTTTTTTTAGACACACAAATATATTTTGAAGAATGATGGAAACCTGTAACCATTGACTTTCATAGTATTTGGTTTTAATACTACGGAAGTCAATGTTTTCAGGATTCTTCAATATATGTTCTATTTACCTTCTTTTATCATGTACTCACCTCTTCACTTTTTCCAAAGCCAAACCACTGACATTAGTATTTGTTTTTAACATTATGAAAGTCAGTGGTTATAGGGTTTTTGCTTTCTTCAAAGTATCTTCTTTCGTGTTTAGCAGAAGAAAATACTCATAAAGGTTTGGAACCACTTGAGGGAGAGTAAATAGTGAGTAAATGTTCAGTTTTGGGTGAACTATCCCTTTAGCAGTTGTAATTATCTGAATGATATGTGATGATAATGTAACTATTTAAAGTTGAATTTGTTTTGTGTTGTTTAATGTTTAATCTCTACTATTATTTATGTTTTCAAACTTCAAGAAATCTTTTATGAGCACCAAGTCAGAGTTTTAATGTTATTTAATAACATTTTTTGAAATCTATATAGAAAATTAGTAATATATCAAAATATTACTGTTTTACTGTATTTTAGACCATTAAATACAGCATTGGTGAGCAAAACAGACTGACTTGAAGTCATAGTTCACCCTAAATTAAAAAGTCATCATTTACTCACACCTTCACTTGTTCCAAACATATTACTTATACTTGAGTTTCCTTCTTCTGTTGAACACAAAAGAAGATGTTTTAAGGAATGTAGGTAGCTAGCAACCATTGACTTCCATAGTAATGTTCCTATTAGTGCCAGGAACTATCATTCTTCAAAATATTTTCTTTTGTGTTCAACAGAAAAAAAAAAACTATAAGGGAAAGTACATGATGAGGTCATTTTCATGTTTAGGTGAACTATCTCTTTAAAAAACATTAATTGCATTTTAAAATATACACAAATATAAAATTTTACTGCAAGATAGAATATTATATTCAAATATGACTCTTTTACTGTATTTTTAATAACTAAATAATTTGGTGAGCAAAAGTGCCTTATTAAAATCATTCATTTCAATGTATAATACATAAAAAGCCTGAAAACTTCCCTTTAATTGTAATAATATATCACAGTATTTCTGTTTTCACTGTATTTCTGATCACTAAATGCAGCTTTTTGCATTTTTTTTAAAAACCTCTTGTAAGGTATTAAAAATGAGGGGCATTTGTCTTCATGCACATGTCATGATGTCATCATTTGTGTTCTGCTGCAGATCGTGAACCCTATACTGATTGTGATTATGGTGCCAATCATGGACTCTGCAATTTACCCCCTCATCAAGCTGTGCCGCATTAACTTCACGTAAGTCCTGCAAGAGAAACAGGTCTTAAAAAGGCAGTTCACTTAAAAATGCTTTCAATTAAAACTTTTATGAATTTCTTTCTTCTGTTGAACATAAACAAGATATTCTGAAGAATGATGGAGAAAAAAACAACCATTGACATTCATTCAATGACTGTTTTTCCCCAACATTCTTCAGAATATCTTGTTTGTGTTGGAGGATGAGTAAATGATGGCAGATTTGTTACTTTTGGGTGAACTGCTTCTTTTAAAGTGTCCTTTGTGGTTTTGAATGATGGCATGTGAATGAGATTGTATGTGTTTGTTGTTTTGCAGGCCCCTGCGGAAGATGACTGTCGGTATGGTTTTGGCAGCCTTAGCATTTGTGGCTGCTGCTCTTTTGCAGCTTCAAATCGACGTGAGTAGCAAAAATGTTGCGAACCCAGCTGATATTTTGCTGCTTTTTTGCTTTTAAATTGTAAACTAAATTGGTATGAGTAAATTGGAAAGTAGTGTGTGTTTGTGTGTGTGTGTGTGTGTGTGTGTAATTGCGAGGGTGTATGTGTGTTTCCCAGCACTGGGTTGCGGCTGGAATGGCATCCGCTGCGTAAAACATATGCTGGAATAGTTGGCGGTTCATTCCGCTGTGGCAACCCCTAATAATTAAGGGTCTAAGCCAAAGGAAAGTGAATAAATAGTAAATTGTGATTTTGGTATTTTTGGTCATAATGGAACTGTAAGTGGGTCCCAATTAAGAGGCTCCATACTTTGTGTTGTTTTTATCAGACGGTCTGAAAACTATACAGTATTTACAACAGGTCTAAATATGTTCACCTACGTCCATTTATTAAGGACAACCCCTGCTGAAATCACATCTTCGTTTTATTTTTTTAAATATTTTAAAGACTTTTCTATCATTGGATAATTTTCATATTAAAAGTATTTTCTCAAAGAGAAAAAATGAATGGTGCTGTTGACGGATATTTCCTCTAAATAGTGTGGAGGAACTAGGAATGTCAGTAGGGTATATGGAGAGCTATTGTTTCTTCCCATACTATTAAACTTTGGTTAATTTGACTTTTTTCTATTTTATGCGGTTCCTTTTACAGCATCAGTGTTGTAATGTAATTACAATACAATCAGTTCAATAGACTTTGGCATCCTTTTAGTTGCTTAAAACTTAAGCTAAAAACAAGACAAAAAGTCATTTACTCGCACGCGTCCGTCAGGATCGGTAGGCTAAAGCCTGGTTTATATTTCTGTGTCAAGTGACTGGCGTAACCCACGGCGCATGCAACGCCCATAGCTGTGCATTTACGCCCCATTCACACGGGGCTTCAGCGTCAACGCTTGACTGATGGCGTGTCTGAAGTTGAGGCTGAAACGATCGTCATAGAAGCATCAGCCAATGAAATTCAGTCAGCAAAAGGCCACTGTCTAGATGGTGTATTTGCATACAGCGATCTGATTGGCTGACGCTTCCGTCAGCGCTTGAAAAGTTGAGCTAGTCCCAACTTCTGCAGCGAGCAACGCCTCAGAAGCGGCACCGACGGATCCACAATGCAGTTCGGCAACGCCTGACGTCACCCATTCAAAGTGAATGGGAAGCGTTGACACTGACGCCCCGTGTGAATGGGGCGTTATACTTCTGCGCGCTGTCTCTGTTGGTCTGCATCACAATTCCGAAACGCTAGTTGGCAGTGAGGTGTTAATGTTCCTCTGTGTCGAGTTTCTTCGCTGCTGTTTTTACTTTTCCTGAACACTTCCTGAATGTACTAGTGGCTTAAACTCGCTCATTTTGAGGCAGAAACCGGCGGACGTTCAACAGCTTTAACTATGAGGTAAACACAAAACAAAACTTTCCATCCGGAGCTCCTTCACGGGACTATACACTTGTAAACAATCACCCCATTGGGCTCGCGCCATTCGCGCGGCTCTCGGTCCCGCCCAGACTCGTCAGCGCTACCAAGCCGACCAATCACAGAACTTGCGCTACACATTGTTGCGACGTGTATTTAGATTTTTCGGTAGGTGCACGTCAGCAACGCTGACGGCCACAGCGAAGGGCTATGCGTCAACGCCGTACCATACGCGTGCGTTTGACGCAGAAGTATAAATCAGCCTTTATGCAGAAGATCCAATGAATATACTGGGGTAAAATAAATGTTCATATTTAAAAGACATGGGGGAAATGTAATTTAATGCAGTGCTTCTTGTACAATCTGAGACCCACTTTATATCAGATGTCACTCAGCTAGTGGAGATCACTGATTTTTAAAGAAAACAGACCTTAAATGCGCCGATTTTGTAATGACATACAGTTCACCGGAAGCGCTTAACACAGGTTACCGACAAATTGAAAGTCCTCCTGCATACTTTCGCATATACCCTATTTGTATGCAAAAACCCACAAGCGAGTTAGCATTTTAGCACTTCCAGTTCTATTGTCTTAGAGTCAATGAGTTTTTTAAATGAATTTTAGTTAAATCGATCAAATAAGGCCTGCATTAAACTCAAACAAAAGATACTTTTATGCTTTACTCTGCATCATAAAACACACCAGTTACACTCTCCTCAAGGTTTTTTAAGCTTTTAGTTTTCTTAAAAAATACAGTTGCTGCTAGTAAGTTGCTATATGGGACTACAGGCGTATTCTGAGACATTAAATAATCGGGATCTTGTACTCATATTGAGTCACGCCTGAAATGAATCATACCCCTGACTTAAAGCTAATTTTATTCAACCAGCAAGTTTTTATTGTTGTTGTTGATTGGAAATGACACAAGCTTCTCCCAAAACTCCCAAAGATGATATGCATCATTGTAGAAAGAAATATTTCCCAGCTTTTTTTGACATCTGAACAAAAAAAAAACTTTTAAGTCAGAATTTTATAAGGATTTTAATAATTTTGGGCTTGATTGTAAATAACAACCTTAATAAATTGTTAATGGTTGGTGATATTAACGTCCTGTTTGTGGCATATTAGTATATTTGAGGGGGCAAACTTTTCAAGATGGGTGGTGACCATGGTGGCCATTTTGAAGTCGGCCATCTTGGATCCAACTTTTGTTTTTTTTTAATAGGAAGTGGGTCATTTGACACATTAAACTTATTGGGAATTTCACAAGAAAAACAATGGTTTGCTTGGTTTTAACACAACTTTATTCTTTCATGAGATATTTACAAGTTTCGAAGCAGTTATAAAACGTGTTCAATGTGCTGCCCATTGTGTTGGATTGTCAATGCTATCCTCTTCTCCCACTCTTCATACACTGATAGCAACACCACAGGAGAAATGCCGTCAAAGGATTTCAGTATCCATAGTTTCAGGTGCTGCACATCTTGTATCTTTACATCATGGACAATTGCCTTCAGATGACCCCAAATATAAAAGTCTAAGGGGGTCAGATCGGGAAACCTTAGGGGCCATTTTACTGGTCCACGACGACCAATCCACTTTTTTAAGGAAACTGTTCATCTAGGAATGCTCGGACCTGACACCCATAATGTGGTGGTGCACCATCTTGATGCAAAAACTCAGGGAATGTGCCAGCTTCAGTGCATAAAGAGAGAAACACATCATCAATTTCAAATATCCAGTGGCCTTGAGGTTTCCATTGATGAAGAATGGCCCCACTATCTTTGTTGTCTATGGTGTGAAGATACAAGATGTGCAGCACCTGAAACTACGGATACTGGAAGCCTGTGCTGGCATTTCTCCTGCGGTGTTGCTATCAGTGTATGAAGAGTGGGAGAAGAGGGTTGCATTGACAATCCAACACAAAGGGCAGCACATTGAACAAATTTTATAAGTGGTCAGAAACTTGTAAATAACTGATGAAAGATGATGATATGTTTAAACCAAGCACACTATTGCTTTTCTTGTGAAATTCCCAATGAGTTTGATGTGTCACATGACCCTCTTCCTATTGAAAAAATAAAAGTTGGATCCAAGATGGCCGACTTCAAAAAGGCCACCATGGTCACCACTCAACTTGAAAATTTTCCCCCTCACATATAATAATGTGCCACAAACAGGACATTAATATCACCAACCATTCCCATTTTATTGATGTATATCCATATAAATGGCCCACCCTGTAGTATGGATTAAAAATACATCTACAGTGTCAATCCTTATTATGGACTATGTATCCAAAATAAACTGGAGATGTAATTGGGAGCATGGTGGTGGTCTGTTTATAGCCTAAAGCTTAGCTTTTTAGTGCTTGCACCTGTATTTAGGATTCAAATATAACGAAAGCTTCATTGATTTATGCAGATGATCTTAATGGAAAAATTGTTCAAGAACTAATTATTTGCAATAATCTAAAGGCCTATGGAAAAAATGCTATGGTGAATGAGGATTTTATCAAGAAAAGCAGTGTGATGCTTCCTGAAACCTGATTGGCCTATAAAGTGACGTCATAATTCGTCGTCTCAATTGGAATGCTGAGAGGATAAACTGGATTTCTGACATGTCTGTCTTGTGTCCAACAGGAAACGATGCCTAAGTTCCCATCAACCTCTCAAACCCAGTTGAAGTTCCTGAACGTTGAGAGCACATCATTGCCTGTTGTGGTGGAGGGACAAGATCAATTCATGGTTCCTGGATTCAATGTAAGTTCACAAATGTTAATACAGTATATGTGTACAATGGAACATCATTGTTCAAAAGAGACAAAAACTAATTTAGTTTAAATAATGTCAGAAATTAGTTTATACAACACAGGCTCATCCAGAAAATGTAATCCTATATACATTTCTAAAGATCGCGAATTATGTAGCCAGAAGTACGTACAGCTGCATTTCGTCCTTAAAACAAATGCTACGGGGCAATGTGATGCCGTTCCTTTTCGTGGTTACCAGCTGACTGCTTACCTCTGTATGGACGGCTTTCCCACTGTTAGTTTGTTTGGTAGCTAGCCATGTACGACGGGGTTTAAGTCTTGTGAAGAATCAACCCTAGCCCCGCGGAGGTTTCTGGAGACCGCAATTTACGTGGCCAGAGGTACGTATGGCTGCATTTAATTTTTTCAAGCGAACGCTACGGGGTGGTGTGATGACGCTCCACTTCGCGCTTGCCGGCTGATGGCTTTACCACCGGAACCAGTTTGTCCGGTTAACTCGTCGTGTTACGTCGGTGGAGCGGAGGCCCAGAGGGGAGCCAGCCAAGGCGATGACCGGGTTAGAGTCCGGGGAAGAGCGCTTCCAGAAATCAGGTAAGACAAAAAACAGAATCCAAAAAATAAAGAGAATGAGTTCATAATGGTGGGAGAATGTGGTGAAATCCGAAAACGCGATCAAAATCAGACGAGAGCTTTTTCTTGAGTTTAGGGAATTAGGAAGAGGAGGGTGGGTCGGCAGATTGGCCGGCCACCCAGTTAATTGCTTTGTCGTTCAGTCAGTCGGACAGACGGTCGATCGACAGCGGCCTGCGGTGGCTTTACGCAAGAACAACAAGGGTGGCAACGGCGCTCGAGGATTTGCGAAAACAAAAACTGCACAAATACGTACCTCCCTGGATGTATTTCGCGGTCTCCAGAATCATCCGCAGGGCTACGTTTCCAGAATGAGCCTGGGTTGTGAAGAATGGTTCCAGAAAGCGGGTAAAACAAAAACAGAAGCCAAGAAATAAAATAAACAAGTAAATAACTGGGTGAGAATGTAGATTTTTACCTGAGTAAAAATTAGGCGAGGGTTTTTCTTTTTCTGGATTGCTTTTTAAAACTGTTGGTTGGGTTTAGGGTTGGCAGATCAATCAGTGCTTTTGAAAACACTATTGGTTATGTTTAGGGAAGGAGGAACGTGGATCAATCGGTTGGTTAGTCAGTAAGTCGGTCATTCAGTTGACAGCGGCCTCTGGTGGATTTACACAAGAACAGCAGGTGGGAATGGCAGTCGCGAGAGAAATTTGAGATCTCAAAAGCATACACAGCGGCCTCTGGTGAATTTGCGAAAACAAAAACTGCTAAAAACTTACCTCCTGGGACATATTTGGTGCTCCAGAAATGTATATAGCGGTATGTTTTGAATATGAGCCTGGGTTGAGTTTATGTGTGGCTCCATGGGCATTTTTGATAGCATGGACTTTTAGAAAACTCTAATACTCTAGTAATTTCATTTCCACTATCTCTTAAATGATGTATTATGAATGTTAAGTGGTTAAGATAAAACTTTAAACAGTTCATATTAAACAAGCATTCAAATTCATGACAAATCAGAATATTAAAGTGATTTCCGAGGATCATGTGACACTGAAAACATTTGCTTTTACCATTGCAGGAATAAATGACATTATTAAATATGTTAAAATAAAAAAAGCAGTTGTTTTAAAATATTACAAAATTAGAGTTTTGCTATATTTTTTGATAATATATATATATGACGTCTTGGTAAGCAGTATATTTCTATAGCATTATGTTGCAATAAAACACTAAATGATTCTGACTGATCCCAATTTTTTTATTATTATTATTGTCTATATATCAAGAGAAAACGTCTTAGTCTGGGGTGCGTTTCCTAAACAACGACGTAACTTGCGGCTGAACTATCATAGTATGATGCATGGTTTTGGAAAATAACTACAGTAAGTAGTGACAAGTGTTTCCCAAGCCCCGTAGTTTCTCTGTCGTGGATCCATCGCTTTAATCACGTTAGTTATAAAATAAAACGCCCATAATGATGCTCTAAACATCGTGGAGTAACAACTTCTTTAGAGAAGAACCTCATAGTTTCTTTGTGCAAATTATATTGTTTCACACGCACACGCATTTCAATTAAATTCCAATATTAGATTTGGTAAAAACATGCACTCACTTTCCATATTAACTGAAATATATGTAAATGGCACATAGGGCCTATGTTTGCTTTACTAATATTATTGAGAAGTTAAGCATTACATATTCTATTCTAAAACATAAAATCACTTACAAAAGCTAACACATATTCTTATCTCATATATAAATCATGTAAGTAAATAAATAAATAATGAGGCGATTTATTATAAAATGAAATGTAATATTTATTATTTATTAGACATGAAAATATAATACTTTGATAATAATATAAATAATATTGATGATGATGATGATTATAATTATTATTATTAAGTAGGATATTGTTTACTTATTTTTTATTTTTTGAAAAGTCTACTTTTACAACTTGAAAAATGTAAACCACTGCAGAAAGTTCTAACCAGCAGGCTCATGTCATATACAGTACAGATACTTAATTAATAACCTACTATAAATTAAAAGAATTAACGTATGCTTTTTGTTTTCACAAGCTTTGGAGACGTAGAGTAATTCCGCTCTTAAATAACAGGTCGCCTATAGCTTTCGCCATGAGCCACGGCTGTGTTCAAAATGATATGAATGTTTTCAAAGTGCACTGCGAAGGGAGCACAATTGTAGACATGAAGATCTAAAACTGAACTGTAAAAATAGTTTAAAAGCAAATTACACCTAAGAGAAATGACCTTAATGCTTTTATATTTTTAATCATTCCAAATTTGAATGTTAGAATGTTCTAAATGAATAGGGCATAGGGGGGGTAAGTCGGAATAGATCACAGCCAGGAACTATGTTTCTAACTACAGCTTCAGAGGTGTAGTTGTTTGTTCAAGTTTGCGACGCAGTTTGTGAATGTTCGTTGGAGCAACGGATTTGGGAAACATCAAATCAACAAACTATGTTTGTAACAACGGAACTTGCAACCTTAGTTGGATGGTTTTGGGAAACGTACCCCTGTTTGATTTCAGAAAAAAAAAACATCAACCCCAGGACATAAACGTATATGCAAACATCTAACAAATGGTATTATATTGTGTTTCTCCAGGCCTCAAGTGAATACTTGACCCTGGACAAGGAGAATGTGACCATCTCTGCTGGAGGAGTCAATGATACAGCCTTTTTAAAGACCGGCACCAGGCACACAGTTTTAATGAATGCTGCTGGAATGAGAAATACGGTAAGATTTTGAAGTCTTTGTATTTCCTTAAAGCTGCGGTCTGTAAACCTTTTTGGTTAAAAATGATCCAAAATCTCCTTTTGTTAGTCCCATTCGAAACAGTTGGCTTTTAATATTGTTTTTGGTACATATACAGTATGTTTTATATATGTATATTTCATATACAGGTTTTCACTGGAAATATGAGCTGGTCACAATTTATATTGCATTGTTTCACATCAAGGTTCATATTTCAAAGAGAACCAGATCTAAGGAAAATAAGCGTATTTTCTGGGTTAAAATAAAATTTTTGGCGATATGGTGGCTCAGTGGTTAGCTCTGTCGCCTCACAGCAAGAAGGTCACTGGTTTAAGTCCCAGCTGGGTCATTTGGCATTTCTGTGTGGAGTTTGCATGTTCTCCTCATGTTCGCGTGGGTTTCCTCCAGGTGCTCGGGTTTCCCCCCACAATCCAAAAACATGCGCTATAGGTGAAATTGAATATACAAATTTGATAGTGTTGTATGAGAGTGTGGATGTGAGAGTGTATGGGTGTTTTCGAGTGCTGGGTTGTGGCTGGAAAGGCATCCACTGCGTAAAACATGCTGGAATAGTTGGTGGTTCATTGTACATGCAGGACAGGACTGTAAAATAAAGTGCGACCATGTTCAAGTGCTATGAATATTGAAATCTACAGATACTGCTTATATATACTCAATACACAGTCATGCATTAGTAACAATGAGTGTTCGTAAAACAAACTTGACGTGACAAGTCATGAATATGAAAGTGATTATATGCATGCTTATAACAACTGCAAAAGACAGAGATCTTTGACATAGCCAAATACGTCACTACCGTCTTGTCTTTAGGACAACTTGACATTACCAAGACCTGTCAGTGTCTTCATGGTGACAACGCGACAAATAACTTGTCATAAATCTGTCATAAACATGATTGTCTTAAGCCCATTATAATAGACCCTTTTCACAATGACGTCACTTCTCTTCTCCCTATCTACAATGCAGTGTGTTTTTAGTTCCGGTTTACATTTGAATGAATGGGAGACTTTGAGACTTCTCTGAAAAATTAGCAAATGGAAATGTTAACATTAACATTGTATTAAACATCTGACTTAAGACTATTGCAGTACTGGGCATGTAACCAAATGTTTCTCTTTCAATGCTGAACTGCTTTCTGAGTTTGAAAACGATTAAGTTATTAAGAATAGGAATACGCCATTGTTTATCAATGATACTGAATTAAAATGTTGTCTTCTTGCTATTGTTTTTGCAACTGTATATTTTTATGATGATTTTGCTTTATTATTAAAATAATTGTTTTATGATTCTATTTCATTTTATTTAAATCTTAAATAGACATAAATGTTTTATGTTCATGAATAAAATACCTATAGGAAAAATGTCAGAGAACTGAGCAGTAGAATGTGAATAATATAAATGTCTCCACTGTAAACAACCACAGTAAAACAATCAGAGTTTTATTCATTCCTTAATCTTCAGGACACACACAAAAAAAAAGTAATTAATTAGTTTGACATCTGAAATCTTTATTTGACAAATGCTGACGAGTACAGATGAACTTCATGTGCAGTAAAGACAGCAACACAACACAATACACTTGTTTAAAGTCCCATTTTCTTGGTTAAAGCGGAAATCTGGATGTTCTCTTCTTTTTTTTTAGTCAGACATCTTACGCTGAATGCAGACAACAGAAAACAGCCGTAGTCATCATCTAACCATATCTGTAGTGAATATTCAGCTGACTGAGTTCACTATGGGGATATCTTTGTAGGTGGACGTAACGATACACAGCGTGAAGTGAAACCGAGCACAGCGTGACGTCATGTGAAAAGAGTCCATTGTTTTAAATTTCATAATCAATAACATCATCAGTAATATTTTTCTTGACCTCGACAGCACTGATACAAATTGAATTTGACATTAAAATGTGTTAAAATTATGCTGTTATTAAATTATTTGACAGAATATTTCCTGAGGAATTTAATTGACAAATTAATTGTGTTGCTCTGAGAACAGTGAGCAGAAAAACATTCATGTTTATGACAGTTTTATGACAATTTACATTGTATCTAATGTCTTGCTGTCATGACACAGCGAAAGAGGTTATGTTATGTTATGATGGGGTTATGTCTAGACGTTATAACAAATAAACCTCCAAATATAACATATTTGCACCTAAAATTACATAACTGAGATGATAATCTTTTATAATCTTTCATAAGTCTGTCATGACACCTTCATATTCATGATGTGCCATGTCATGATTATAAAGGTTTCGTGACAGTTTTATTAACACCCCTTCAAGTGAAGTGTTACCATTTGGGTCAAACTTTCTAGACCATGGGTGCCCAAACCTCTAGCTGAGTTTAGCTCCAACTTACCTCAACACACCTGCCAGGAGGTTTCTGGTGAATCTAGTAATGTAATGTGTGTATTTATATAGCGCATTTATTGTGTATGGCCATACACCCAAAGCGCTTTACAATCATGAGGGGGTCTCTCCACACCACCACCAGTGTGCAGCATCCACTTGGATGATGCAACGGCAGCCACAGGACAACGGCGCCAGTGCGCTCACCACACACCAGCTATTAGTAAGAGCTTGATCAGCTGGTTCAGGTGTGTTTGATTAGGGTTGGAGCTAAACTCTCCAGGACAGAGTTTGACACCCCTGTTCTAGACAAAGAATCTGTGATTGTGAATAAATTAATGCAAGTTGAGAAGCAACGGCATTACACAACCCATGTAAAGATGAGCATTCCACTAATGTATGATGATAAGGAGGCAAAACTCACCAACTGCAGCTTTAACACCTAATATTTACTTCCATTTTGATGTTTATGTGTTTTGATCAACTATTGGTGTCCTTTCACAGCTCGATGACCTTACTAAGAAACCAGAGCAAGGCCTGAATGCCATTAGGTTTGATTCATTTCTCACTTCTTCTTTTTATGTACTGTATATATCATTTTAAAATTGTGTCAGATGTTTGGCCGCCTAAATCAAATTGACTGAAAGCCGACATGTGTTTCAGGTTTGTGAATGGCTGGGAGAATCGGCTGAATGTGTCAGTGAAGTCTAATAATGTGCACGCGGATCCCCTGGATGCATCAGTTTACTTATTGGTTCCCCATGGCAAGTACGTGTCGTTTTGTCTGATTACAAATACATGGCTGATTCTGTCATTTTAGATACATTTTACATTTCAAAATGTTCAGAAAATCAGTCACACTTTACATTACAATTAAGTTTCCTAATGCATATTTAGTTAATGTATTTAATTAATAATATATGTACAGCATTTATGAATCCTAGCTCAACATTTACTTATACATTAAAAAAATGTTATTATCATTAACTAATGGCCGGTCCAGTCACCAGACATGACCATTATTGAGCATGTCTGAGGTAAGATGGAGGAGGCATTTAAGATGAATCCAAAATAGATGAACTCTGGGAGTCCTGCAAGAACGCTTTCTTGCCCCCCCCTGGCAAATTCTGATTAAAAGTTACTTAATGAAATATTTATTCCACAATGATGCCTCGTGTAAATGGGCTTATCTTTTGGGAGAAGCCTGCGTAATTTCTGGGCAAAAAAATATTAATAAAATAAATTGCTGGTTGAATAAAAGTAACTTTAAACCAGAATTAGCCTGAGATATGAATACTTTCAGGCTTGACTGGACATGTTAACTGTTTATAGAGATAAAAATACAGAGCAAACTTGTTGCTTGGCTGCTTTTCTACACTGATTTGATGCCTCTTCTTCCCAGAGTCAACTTTACAATTTTTGACGGGGGCGACGGGAAGTGCCACTACATTATGCAGCTGGGCTTTGGAAGCACTTACACAGTCCTGATCCCCAGCACCTTCGCCTTCGGACAAACTGTAAGTCTAAACAGCCAAGCATTACATAGAAATAGGCCCAAAATATTATACTTTCTTAATCTTCTGCATGCTGCTCAAAAAGTAAATCATGCTGGTTTGGAATGTTATGAAGATGAATAAATGGACAGAAATGTATATTTTGTGGTGGTTTATCACCTAAACAACTGGTCCATGACCAGGGTTGTCCACTAGAGGGCTATAGGATGACATAATCTTCATATACAGGGTTATTGCAGATATCATAATGTCAAATTTAAGACTTTTAAGACCTTTTTAAGACCATCAAGTATTAAATTTAAGACCTGTATCGCAATATCAAAAACGCACACACATAAAGAGAAAATGCAAAATCACAAAATTAGTGGTAAAATAAATGTATTCAAATTGAACAGTACTAAAGACAGGTTAGATGCACTCGCGAACTACAGAAAAAACAAACAAACATCTTGAGGCTGATTTAAACTTTCGCGTGGCACCACATCGCGCACCTCACGAAACAGACAAGGCTTTTATACCTTTTTTTTCAGTTTAACAACATAAAAACGGTGGACCAATTGGAGCGTTTTTTAGAGCGACCGCAACTTGACGTAGGAGTGCGGTCCCCTCGCCCACCAATATTGATTGACAGGTGCATCATCATGTCCTCAGTTTGTTGATTCCCGTCCGCCATTTTCAGCGTGTGAGTCAAAGCGATATCACTAAAGGAACACCCTTGCTCTATTTTTTAGATATAAGGCTTATTGAGCACAACACAAGATCAATATTCTCCACATTATCGCTCTAATCGGAATTATTGGTTGTACCTTTAAGTAGGTTTGCAAACGTGTACTTTTCATTGCGTCTACCTTAAACTTCAGCCGTTTGCATTTCTCGTGAACACAGATGCTCCCTGTGATCTTAACTAGGTGTTGCTTTAAATTGCAAGCGCGTTGCCTCATGTGCGCGTCTCTCCATTGGAAATAAAATAACGAACTTGCCTGCAGGTCACACACCTGAAACATGAAGTGTCCCGAATCGCCGCGCCACGCATTTTAAAATTCTAAACATAGGTTTCTATCAGGGTACATACAACGGCGCTTCAAGTCTTGACCGAGTCGTACATGTACAGCTGAATGCTGGTCCTCTCACTCATGTGGCTTCTCTCTCTGTCTGCTGCAAACACAGAGCGGGGGAGCTCTAGGCTCCGTCCCCTTGTTACGTTGGGCGGGAAGCTGAAACTAATTTTCATGTAAAACAACACGCCCCTAAAACAGCGAGCTGTGTAAACGCCCCCAAAATGACACTTTTTAACAAATGATTATAAAAACATCTGAACTGTGTTGAACTGAACCTAAACTGGCACACTCAGAAGAACCATAATACTAACATTAAATCATAAACTATGTGCCCTTTAAATGACAGGGGGCAGTCAGAAGAAATAGACAGTAAAATCAGACGAATAAACAGAGAAGTAGAAAGCTTCTGGAACTAGGTCATATCATTAATATCATTCAAGATAATTGTTTTTAATTATTTTTATAATTTATTATTACACAATTGTGTTCAATAACAGAAAGCTGGTTGGCTATTGTCGGTATAGGGCATGTCGGTCTTATTTGTAGTTGTAATACCGCAAATTACAATTGGACTAGTGAAATAAAGAACTACAACACCTCGAAAACCAAGCAACAACAAGAAAAAACTATTTAAATGAGGATTAGATGTAGCGTTACATGGACATCGGAAAAATAAGACCTGTGCAAAAATATTTAAGACCTAGAACAGTGAATTTAAGATTTTTTTAAGGCCTTAAATTCAATATTTTAAATTTTAGACTTTTTAAGACCCCCGCGGAAACCCTGCATGTAACTGAAGGGTTAATTCACCTAAAAATGAAAACCGCTTCATTAATTTCGCAACCTCATTTTGTTCCAATCCCCTGAGACCTTCGTTCATCTTCGTAAGAAAAATTAAGATATTTTAGATGAAATTAGAGAGCTCATCTATGCTGTTCTTTAACTAATATAAATGGAATATTTGGTCAGTAGTCTAACAGATTTTTAGTCTGGAGACTGAAGGTGCTTTCACACCTGTGAATCGATTCAGTTGTTCCGAAACAGGGATTAAAATTGTTACATTGTTGCTCTTTGCTCTTGGTGTGGTTCGCTTTCACACTGCAATTTTTAATCAGACCAAAAGAGCTTAAACAAGTCACGTGTGATTAAACTCTCCTCTCATTGATCAGAGTGTCAGGGTTTATTTTGCACAGTCTCGCTCAGCTGTCAGGGGAGGTGGTGGTTTGGTGGTGTTTGACAAGGTGCGTGCGACATGTCTGAAGAGCAAGGAGAGATGCGGTGGGGAGGGGTGAGAAGGGTGCGCAACGTATTTGAGGACCGGGAGGGAGACGCAAGATTACCAGGAGATTGACAGGTTCCGAAACAAAAGTGTAGGTGTGAAAGCACCCTGAGTCAGTTTGCTAAACACTGTGGCTAGTTACCAAACCTAGTGTGTGTGAATGTGTGCAGTGCAGCGAGAGCTTTGAAGCAGTGCAGGACATGGAGCCCAATAGGATCCACATGGCCTGGCAGGTCATTCAATACTTCCTTTTGACCTGTGGTGAAGTGGTGTACTCGGTCACCGGCCTCGACTTCTCCTATTCACAGGTATGGATTCACTGTTAAAAATGCTGGCTTCTGCACAATTCCTTCATGTTGACCCAAAACAAATCAATTTACTTTTACAAATATTAGTAGATTGAGCATAAAACAATTTGTCTCAAATAAACTCAAGAATTGAATTGATTCAGCTCATTTTAAAGAAGTAGTGTGGACAAGCAGCACATTCAGAGAGATTTGATCAGTATTGTTTTATTGCATGTCATCATTTGGTTATTACTGCACCTTGTAGGCTCCGAGCAACATGAAGTCGGTTCTGCAGGCTGGTTGGCTGTTGACCGTCGCTGTGGGGAACATCATTGTGCTCATCGTGGCTGAAGCAGGATCTCTTCCGGATCAGGTATACAGCCCTACAGCTTATCTACACTTCTAAATAAACACTCATCTGAAGGAATTTAGGCCTTATCTGATCACAATTGTGCGATGCTGAGTACAGGTGTGAATTGGGTGTAAAATTCAATTCAATTCAGCTTTATTTGTATAGCGCTTTTACAATGTAGATTGTGTCAAAGCAGCTTCACATAAATGCTTATAGTAACTGGATCAGGGTAGTTCAGTTTGTAGTGTTTAAGTTCAGTTCAGTTTAGCTCAGTTCAGTGTGGTTTGAAGTCATTATTGAGAGTCCAGACACTGAAGAGCAAATACATCGATGAGTAGCTTTTCAGATCCTGAACCATGCAAGCCAGTGGCGACAGCGGAGAGGGAAAAAAACTTCACCAATAGGAGAGTGAAGAAAAAAAATCTTGAGAGAACCAGACTCAGTTCGGCACGACCATTTTCATTTCTCCGCTGGTCAAAAGTCTTGTGCAGAACTGCAGTCTCAGCAGTGGAGGCTGGAAGCTGGCCTCAGCTTCCAGCCTTAAAATGTTTTGACCACTTTTGTAGAATCACTTTTGTGGAGCTCAAAAAGTCAAAATAGTGTGCATTCTTATTCTTCTGCAGTTGGGGCAGATCTAGAGGTGGGGGCATAGGGGCGTCATTTAAATTGTTGTTGGCATTTGAGCTGACGGGTGTGTTTGTCGTTGTAGTGGGCTGAATATCTGCTGTTCGCGTCTCTTCTGGTGGCTGTGAGCATCATCTTCGCCATCATGGCCTACTTCTACACCTATATCGACCCGAATGAGATCGAGGCTAAGTTTAAAGAGTTGGAGCCCGAGGACAAGAAAAGGAAAGAAATGCAAATGACGGCCAAAGACAATATGGCGTACGTACACAATGAGAACACAAACATCAAGCAAACCAAGATCTAGACACTTTTTTTTTTTCTTCCCTCCTGATCAGAGGTGTTCCACGTCGTGACTGATCCAGCATTTTCTTAAACAGTTAAGTGTGGGATTTGTTGTAGCAGAAAAGATTCTCAAATCAGCCCAAGGAAATGCTAATTCTTCCTAAATTGAAGTTTTGTTTGGGATGAAGAGTGTGGGCTTGAGGGTTGGTAGTTTTGGAGGGTATCAGACTGTTAATGTGTCACTATCGTGTGATGGTGACTTTATTTATGAGTCTATTATGTTACTATCAATAAATTGATGGATCGAAACAAGTGTTGCTCTGACAATTGACTCTTATCATGGAAAAACAGTTAAAAAAAATTAAATTTAAAGTGAAAAATGAATAGAAAAAGTAATAAAAGTGATTATTAAAAGTAATAAAAGTGAGTGCTATATGCTAATGCTAAATATTACTTTGAATGTCGATTCCAGACTGTACTAAAAGCAACACTTGTCCTGTTCATTAGTGCCGTTTAACAATTAATCGTGACTAACCACATACAATTATCGCGTAAAAATAAGTTTGCATTTGCGTAATATATGTACTGCGTATATGTATTATGTATAAACAAATGCACACACATGTATATACACGTAACAATTATTTACATATGTATTAATATTTATAGACAATTTTGCTAAATGTAAATAAACATACTATACACATTGACATACATTGATCTGTCTATCTTTAAACAATCTCACAGCAATTCGTAACTTTGATTTAGTGGCGAATTTGTACGATCCAATTCGTACAATGATGTACAACAATTTGCTGATTCCCCAAGGACGGTTGAGTTTAGGGGTGGGGTTGGGCGCCACACCTTCTCTTTAAAATCGTACATTTTCGTACGACTTAACTCGTACGAATTAGCCACTAAACTGACAGAATGTAAAACACCTACGTTTCCTTGAGAGATCAGGCTGTATATATATTATGTACAAAATAACTATACACAGTACACAAAATAATTATGCAAATGTAAGCTTTAAATTTGGTCATGATTAATGGTTTGACAGTACTAATGTTGGATTGGATCTTCCAGAAACATTCTAAAGTGCCTTTAAATAATTAAACATAACCATTCATGGGAAAGACAGTATTGAGAAGGGATTTCTTTTATGTGAAATAGTATCGCCTCTTATTTCATGATTAGAAATGCATTATTTGAAGGGGTTACAGTAAGAACGTGCCACATTACTTGTATATGAGTTAAGTGTTTTCTTGTGTATTTTTAAATTATTCTTTTTTTCTATACATGACTGTAAATGCATTTTGGGTCCAATAAGATCTGAAAGAATCAACTTTTGATGAAGTTCTTCAATAAAAACCTATTTACCATAGATTCTGCCTCGGAGTGAAAATCTTTTGTCTATAAATATATTATAATAAGCATTTAATTAATTTTACCTTTCCTGTAAGGCAGGGGTGTCCAAACCCGGTCCTAGAGGACCTGTGTCCTGCCAAATTTACCTCCAACTGGCTTAAACACACCTGTCAAGAAGTTTCTAGTATTACTAGTAAGAGCTTGATCAGCGGGTTCAGGTGTGTTTGATTAGGGTTGAAGCTAAACTCTCCAGGACAGAGTTTGGACACCCCTGCTTTAAGGGATTGGTCTCTTATTTACTAGGGGTCGCCACAGAGGAATAAACCGCCAACTATTCCGACATATGTTTTAAGCAACCCAGTAATGGGAAACACCCAAACATTCTAAGATACACACTACGACCAATTTAGTTCACCCAATTCACCTACAGCACATGGCTTTGGAGTGTGGGGGAAACCGGAGCACCCAGAGAAACCCACGCCAACACTGGGAGAACATGCAAACTCCACACAGAAATGCCAACCAGAATAGCTACGTTTTTGCTGTGAGGCAACAGTGCTAACCACTGAACACACCGTTTTTACATAAAAAAATGCTTACATTTTGAAAAAAATATAAAGATAACTTTTGATTTACCTTCACTGCAAAAAATAAAAAAAATAAAAAAAATAAATAAATAAACAAACAAAAAAAAGATATGTATTTTGGTAATTTTTAACCTTTACTTAGGAAGCAAGATAAGAAATCTTATCTGAGAAACTTGATCACATATATAAAACAAAATGAGTTACATGCCAACAGGCCTAAATACATCTACACCAAAGCAATTTTTACTCTCCAGTGTCAAATATTTGATCGTTATAACCAGTCGCTTAATTCTTTTACATTTTCAGATGATTTTTAGAAAACTGTTTCTTCATTTTAGCATATCTAGTAAATGTCTTGATTTACAGATGTTTAAAGTGCACCTATTTTAACACTTTTTCAAGATTTAAGATGAGTTTTTTTGTGTCTCCAGATTGTGTCTGTAAAATAAAATAGTCTCAAAATACCCATCAGATGATTTATTATACCTTTTTAAAACTGGAAATTTGAGCTGTTTTTGTTGCCTGTGCCTTTAATGCGAATGAGCTAGTTCTCCCGGCCCACCAATCCCACATGCGTGTCAGAGCTGTAGCCGTCATGTAGATAAACAGCAGTGATGGACAAGAATGCTACACACACACACACACACACACGCACACACACACACGCGCACACAGACTGTACTCTCAAGTGCATTTAGTACAACTTTAAACATCAATAGATCCATCATACCAACAGCTGCAGTGAAGCGGGTTCCTCATAAACACACACACACACACACACACACACACACACACACACACACACACACACACACACACACACACACACACACACACACACACACACACACACACACGTGTTTTTGCATGGCAAATGTAACAGGATACAAGGTAATATCCACTGCAGTATGGACATCCATTATGTTAACATACAAAATAAGCTGGATTTAATGTCCACAAACCGGAATTGAAGCGTCGTCTTTTATAATTGTACTGACACAGCTGTGGTGAAGAATTACATATATTTTACTGTCTATTACAAACACGCACTGTTTTAAACTTGTAAAGCTCATTCTTGATCACGTGATGACGACTGATCATCACAGCAAGCTGAACAGATCTTTTAATCCCGGTCGCTTTGCACACGTCCTGTCTTGTTGATATAATTATACGCAATATTAAACGGCTGTCAATTACTTCAGTGGGAGGGGACACCGAAAAATATTTCAGAAACATATTTCAAAACGTAATTACTGAGGATATTCTTTTCAAATTACGCATCATTTTATGCTATGATTACGCAAATTTAAAAGATCCAGTGAAGGCCTTTGAAATGTGTTTTTTGTATTCGATATTTGATGTAATCGCAACTGAAAAATAAAGAGGGCGGGACATAAAGCAGCCCTTCCCCTTTTAAAAAGCAGCCAATAGTTTTGCTTTCTCACAGCTCTGCTAGTGAGAGTAGTTGAGCTCTAGCGCATCAAATGAAAAGTGTCTTGAAGGGGGCGGGGCATGCAAGATACTAGAGAGCATTTGATTGGTCAAGATTTGATGAGAAAGTAAAGTATGAGGTGACGTGAAAAAAAGCTTATCCGTTTAGGAGGAAGTGACAAACTTTACATGATTATATCAGTTTTATGTCTTCTAAATGCAAATTTTGTTGTTATTTTGTATCACACTAGCTTATAGATATACTTGAAGACTAACATACTCATAGTAATTTATAAAGCCCTAAACTTAGACTAAAGGATGAAATAAGGCCTATAAAATGAACTCAAGCTCTGATTTATCAAACTAAAGGCTGATTTATACTTCTGCGTCAAGTGCACGCGTATGCTACTGCGCAGCCTACGCGTGGACGCATAGTCCTCACCATGGCTGTTGGCGTCGCTGACGCGCACCTCTAAAAAAAAATGTAAATACACATCGCAACAACGCGTAGTGCAAGATTTGTGATTGGTCGGCTATCGATGAGTGTGAGCGGTACTGAGAGCCACGCGAGTCTGTTGGAGCGAGTGTTTACAGGTGTGGAGTCCCGTGAAGGAACTCCAGATGGAAAGTTTTGTTTTGTGTTTATCTTATGGTTAAAGTTGTTGTACGTGCGCCGGTTCCTGCCTCAAAATGAGTGAGTTTGAGCCACTTGTACATTAAGGAAGCATTCAGAAAAAACAAAACACCAGTTGAGTACATAACACTTCTGAAACACTAGCTGGCAGTGATGTGTTTATTGCAGAGCAACAGAAACAGTGCGCAGAAGTATAAATGCACTGCACCGTGAAAGGCTTGCCGTGGGTCACGCCGATCACTTGACGCAGAAGTATGAACCAGGCTTAATAGGGGAACTACCAACCATACCATACCGACTGCAAAAATAGACCGGTTGCAATAGCAAACATGTCGTGTTGTGCGGTAGGATGCCAAAATCGAAAGTCCAAATACAAAACTTTAATTTTACTGTACACCACACTGCTTTTATTGCCAACAGCAGACGTCTTTGGCTTATGGCCATCAGAAGAGCTGAATGGAGTGATGACCTATTTAAAAATGCTAACTCAACAAAAAGCTAACTAATTCTCTCATTTCATATCAAGTGAGTTTAGGCTATGCTGAATCATACACATTACTCACTTTTGACTGCAGCAATGATTTCAGCAAAAACAGTTAAATATGGTTCATTAAACTGCAGACAGTTTCTAAGAATGAAATGTAAAAGTGTCATTTCACACACCCTGCCGTACAGGTGCAGTTCACCGTCAGAATGCAGTTGTTTTGCTCGTTGATGATTACCCAGGCCTTGTACAGTTTCATCTTCTTTCCTTGTCTTTGGCTAGGCAGAACCTCGGTTTTTAGCGCTACAGTTTTGAATCTGGTAATCATGGAACATTATCTCTTGCACATGACCACACAGAACAAAATTGTAGGCATCCAAAGACTTGTAGGCCTTTAGCTTCTCTCTTGTAGAATCACGTGGACTTTTAATGAGATAGTTGTATATTTGCGGCTGGATGTTTGGCCATTTCGCCTTATCCAATATCCATTGGGAGGGTGCTGTCGCAAATGGACCTGTCAGACGCACATCGCTTAATTTTGCAGAATAACTGTGGTTGTCACTGGGTGACGAGCTGTTATAATACGCTGAAAGCATTATGTAAATAATATATATAATATGTAATCAATATAACTTATCTCTAATACAACAACAAACTCTGTACCGCATCGGATAGCATTCACTTGCTGTAAATGCTAGCGCTCCTGTTTTTTTCTGCAACCTCGCTGCGCGCATCCTGAATGTTTACAAACCGGTAGTTTGTCTATAACACAAATGACGAAAAGTAACATTTTAAGTCCAAACCAGATGAAAATAAGAAAGTCAGATATTTTTTTTTTGAGTAAAACCCTTTAATTTCTTATTAAAATTAACAGAG